AGGAGCACTTCATAAGAAAACAACAAAACAGCAACTGAAATAATCACATAATTCTAGAGACTACCCATAGCATTAATAACTAAAATGCTTTGCCATTCAAGCCAGTAAAGTTACTCACATGCTTAAGCATTTTGCAGGACAGAATCCCCAATTTGTAACAGCAACTTATTTTGAAGCATTAACACCAGACATGAAAATAATGAAGCTATGCTACCAAACAGAAAATATTCCAAATGGAAAATGTAGGTGAAAAGATCTGTAGTTTGACTTGCTCTTCACATTTTACAATAACATAGAAAAGCTCTTAAATGTATTTTTAGAATATCTAATGTGTTAGCATAACTTCTTTTAGAAAAGGCTACTAATGCGTATATTTGGGTTAGTGACAGAGAAGCCAGAAAAGCACATCTCCTAAATATTCTTTTCTGTTAAAAAATTAGAAACAAATAGCCATTATGTAGTAAAGTAATGTGCAAACTTAACAGGAAAGCCATTAAGCCACAACTGAAAAAGCTGAAATCAGCCTCTCTACATTTTTCAAGGAAGGCATGACACTTGCTGAATGGCAAATTCTTATAATTTGGTACTTAAATGTTAAGAGGAATTGTTACTGAGTTAACTGTATAATGGGAACAGTCCTGACAAAAAAAATATGACCAGGTTTTACTTTTCATTAACCCTTCCCAGCCTGGACATGTTAGCGTGCAAGTCCATGTAAAACACTGAATAAAAACTGTGCTTGAAGGTGTGTAACAGCAGTGCATGTGTGTGTGGCTTTTTTGAGGGGAATTAAAGTTGGCTTAATGACTGCACGCTCTGAAACTTACTGTGGTATTGGAACGTGACATACCCAGAGCATTTTATAGTGTTATAATTTTACAACTTTATCGGTGGTCCCTCTGGTCAGTCCATTTTTGAGGAGGGAGGCAAGGTTATTTGTTTTGCAGACAAGGTCTGATTTACAAAGTTATTAAAGTATTTGAAGGTGCAGATATGCGTCTGATGGACTTTATAATTCTTTTTTTCATCCTGTCAGGCACCTATCTACACATCAAGTCTTCCAAAGACCCACGACAATGTGACCCACCAGGTAAAAGAGTGTGCGGGTCTGATTCTGTTCTCACTTGACACTGCCTGAACTCTGCTCCAGCAAAGCTCCCGATGAAGTGCGATACAAGCAAGAAGAGAAACAGATGGAGTAGGAAACACCCGAGTTAGTTAGAAACCTGCGTCTTCCGTAGTGCCTCGTGTTGCAGGCAGCGATGGCGTCAGTTCTCCAGGTGTCCCTCTACTGAAGCTCTGGTTTAACAATGTGCCAGGCTGGGAAGGGTTAAAAGCGGAACAGAGCCCCAAGCTTTGAACTAGACAATTCTTGGAAGTGTTCTTTCGTACCTTTCTTTGTCATCTTTACTAACAGATGAGTCTCGTTTATCTACATCTCTATCTCTGTCATGAGCTGCAGCAGATGAACTGCGCTCCAGCTCTCCTGGCTTCAGCCAGGGCGGAGGGGTCGGGAACGAAGGAGGAGTTCGGTGCAGTCGGTTCCAGGGCTCGTGAGGGTTGCTAAAGCTCTGCATACTGGGGCCATCCTTGTGGCCGAACATTGAGTTGGGTGCTGAAATGGTGAAGTGGAAAACAAAAAGGTTTAAGAAAAAGGTATGCTCTAGTGAAGGTACTTACCAAAAAAACTTTTACAGCACTCAGAGTTAAAATGAATACATATTATTGGGAGCTGGAAAAGGAAAGGAAATTAACAGAGATTCATTAGAGGGTCGCATTCCTAAAAATGGGTAGGCATCTGACAGCTGTTTTAATTGGAAAGGGAAATGCTGTGGATAAAATTGACAAGGGATGACTAGTAAGATAAAGGTGACAATGATCCTTATTCCAAATATTTTGGAAACATCAGGAAATGACCATTATACGGACTATAAATAATGGAACTTGTTGCATTTGATCCTGAACCAAAGTAAAATAATATGTGACCGAAATCATGCCAGATTTGAAGTATGGAGAAAGAGTGATTTTAAAAAGGATGATCTTTTGTGACTGGCCAAATCTAAAGAAATGTTGATGATCCTGGACAAATAAATGCAGGTTAGTGATCTTTTCCAGGCACATGTCCCAGATTACTGGTGAGAAAGGAAAAAAAAAAATGTTCCCCTCCACAGCTAGGGATGCTGCACACATTAACTATTTTTGAACATGCAACAAACCATGAGAAATTTCAAACTCCTTACACTCACAGGTTCTACTTTTTTTTTTTTTTTTTACTGAACAATGTAATGGTGACATTTAGCACAATGGTGAACCCAAACTATTAAGTAACTAATAGAAAATAATTTACTAATGACTAAAAAATGCTGTTATTTAGACAAAAAAGGTCACTTTTCAAATTCCCATCCTTAGTGGTATGCAGTCTAAGCAACTGGTAAAAAAGACAGCAAATAGTCACCATCACTCAATATCGTGAATTACACAGCAAAGAAGAATTCATAAACAAAGAGGTTACTCACTAACTGTTGGGTTCCCGAGTCCCCCGAAGGCGTTACTACCCACTGCAGTGAGACCGCTGAAGGAAGCCGGTCGATTGAAAGGCTCTGCAAACCAAGGGGAACAGCTGAAACTCACTGGCGTGTTGATAATTATGATAAAGCATTAGCGTGTTACCCATCTGCATTACGTCTGGGCGAAAGCTCAGTCTGTGCCCATCAGTAGCTGAACATCATCCTCCCACAACGCAGCAGTGACTGGGAGGGGGTGGCACAGAAAACCCCTTTTTTTCCAGTGACAGTATGCATGGGATCATCTTACTAGAAAAACTTCCTTTGCAAAGTAAAAGAAGATGTTAAAATAGACATGGTATTGAGGCCTGCGAAGTTGCTACTTCATTTAAAACCTGCAAACATCTTCATTTTTATTTCCTTTTATACCTTTCCAACTCAATTCCATGGTCTTTCTCAGGAAATGTCCCTGGCTAGCAAGACTATTATTAACTCTGGCAACTGTGCTCCAAACACCTTCAAGGCCTTGTCTCCTAAACCATAGCCAGGATATACATAAAATGTCCTATTATGTTGACATGTCCGATTGACCTGAACATTTTGTAATGCTCTTGATATTTATTGCTAATACTATATAAATACTAATATGGACTGAAAAATATTGGAATACTTTTTTAGGAGTTAATGCATACAGGGTATAGCTAAGTCATATGAAGCAAATTCTCTTCTTTTTTTATTTTGGAGGAGTCCAACAATTTCGATAAAACTACTTCTGATAAACACCAGCACAGAGAAAAGGAAGACCGACCCTAACATTTTCTATAGGCAGCTAAGTGCAGAACGATCAACCTCTGTGAGCCTGCTGTACCAATTTGGTGACCCTCCCACATCCTTCCCTATGCAAAATAAAATACCAATTTACAGTCTTGATCTCGGACGCTCCTGCAGGCAGCAGACCACTTTATGACAACATCAGTAAGTTACAAGTGAAATAACAACATTTGGTAACTTGGGTGCTCCCATTTTTAAATGCATATTCACTAATTTTCACTAACAGACACTTTTGAGGCCAGGTCACAAGATTTTAAGGACCTATTTCCCACTCACTTACATGAAAAAGCAGACATCTAAGCAGGAGTTAGGAAAAGAAACACATCTATGAACTGAAGCCTTAACCTTAGGGCATTTACTCTGAGTGGTTATAAACATGACCACAGTGAATCCTAACCAGCCCTGTCACTCCGCTCCTCTAACGTCCAGACTGTTTTCACAAGTATTTCAAAACACGCTGCCAGTGAAATTATTACGTGTATTTAGAACTGCTACTTGGACAATGACTAAAATTAAAGGGCTGAAATGCGCAGTTTGTAAAGGTTAAGTAGACAGGATACTCAAAGAGTCTCCGCGTGGGCAACCTTTAATGGTCTCAGCGGTCGATATGTGTTACTTCTGAGTTGCCTTCACCGTGTGTTAGCTGCAGAGAGAACGTACCTAGGTGAGCAGCTGGGTTGAGAAAGTTGCTGTGGTGAGGTGGTGGGCCGAAAGGGGTGCCGGCTGGATGACCCCCACCTGCCAAAACAAAGCAAAAGGCGTGAATTCCTAGCAAAAGCTCAGAAAGGGACTAACTGTGCTCTGGGCTTGACCAGCATTTCTGAAACGGCAGCTCATGTCAGCAGAGATTGCTGTACAGGGGCAGGGGCGCTCAGGACAGGATCCTATGCAAATAGCAGCTGCTTTTCCGAACAGAAATTCCCAGTTAACAGTATAAGGGGTGTGGGGGGGTGTTTCAGTACGGAAAAAAAAAGAGCATGTGTATTTCCAACCTGTCATCTCCATGATGCATCGGACATCACTGTGTGAAGAGATATTCCTCCATTTACTACCTGTATGGCATTTTGGCAGGTTGGTGGGCTTTTATTTAAAAGCGTATAGAGTAATTTTAAAATATTTATCAAATAGACTAACAGGCCCTGGCATGTCTTGCAGAGAGTTCATAAGCCAAAGCATATGGGAGATTTCCTTTTAATATGGCAAGGATTAGCATTTTAATGAGCACGCCACAAGGAGATTTCACTTCTCAGTACTCACTGGCTGTGGAGAAGAGAGTCGAGGGCCGGGCCAGGTCATGGGGGTGGTGGATGGCTCCAAAAAGGCTGGGGCCTGGTGGCCTGCTCAGAAATTCAGGTTTCAGGCCAAAGTCCAGCTTGTGTGGATCAGACTGCATCTGTTTCTGAAATGTAAAAACAGGATTTGGAAGAGACCGTCCTAATAGATAGCTGTAAAAGCACTTTCAGAATGATGCGGGTATAGCAATTTATTCACAATAACTGACGTTTTAACGAGAAAATTAGTTTTTGGGACCCCAAGCATAGGTGCACAGCTATTTTCCTGGAAGGGAGATCTAAGGCAGAGAGATAAAATCTCAGGCTCCCAATGCACGCTTCCTGCAAATGTCAACAGTGTTTTCACATGTGCTCACATCCATCCCTCCGGAGCAAAGCATTTCGGCACAGACCTGACTTAAAGAACAAACATAAAAATCTCTGAAGAGGCCTCAGACACTTGCTTAGCTGTAAGAATAGGTCAGTCTTAAAATAATAAAAGCAAATCCAAAGAGAAATGTTGGTTTGGACCCGATCCCAGGTGGGCAGGCATGTTAAAAGCTGGGTGACAGCACCAAGGGTGACAGCACCAGCTGCCAGCTGAGTCTCTCCCACTGCCCCCGCGGCAGAGACGTCAGTGCACACCAGAACCAGTAACTTGTGAAGCTGCAATCTAGAAACACTTGATGCAGACTACCTTTCGGTGCCTCTCGGGCTGCAACGGAGCAAGGTTAGGGCTAAAATGAATCACGTTACAGATGAAGTGTATTTGAGACTAAAGAACTAAAGTCCCATTTTGGCCGCTTGCACTCCAATTTCAAAGCACTGGATGTCACCGTTGTTACTTCTGTGGCATTAGAATTGACACTTTTTTACAGTAAATTTGCTGAAGTAGCTGTATTGTAAACGATAAGCGAAGGAAGGGTGGGCTCTTCTTTGTGCCGTGTACTCGTTTCAGTGGTCCCTACTTCAATCGTTTCCTAGAATGAAGAGGAAAACCAAACTCCCAATTACCTGTGCTGCCAGAACTCCCTAAACACAGATTGCTGATTAACTGTGCAGCTCAGCTGAAAGGATTTACAAATGTGAAACATTGAACCAGTAGATCTTAACAGGAATTCTGGAGCACGTTATGCTTTGTAAATCAGTATTTAATACCGTGCCAGCTCAGAGTACAGGCTATTACAATGATATAAATATGCATATTAAAAAGTTATGACCAAGTTAATGTGCATGCCTAGTAGCTGTTTTTCAAGTGCTAGTAACAGGTCTATGCTGCTATGAGAACAAAAAGAAGGGGAAAAAAAGACCAAAAAAAAAGGCTTTATCAATGTTTTGAGAGAATGGCCTGCAAGAATATTGAAATGGAAAAGATCGCCAAGTTAAGGTCATGTCTTTTAAGGAAGTAACACTGTAGTGCTTTAATAATTAAAAAAAGTTCAGAAAATACAAATGTCTCAGTTGAAGCCTGCGTGCCAGATTTTTATATTGTGAACTTTTTATTCCTCTTTTTAACAACCAAGTTATAAACCTCTCACAGGCGTTACTCAGAATTGCAAAAGCTGGCTGAAACTTTAATTGCAGCCATATGAATGGCGCTGTTCTAATAATGAAAAAATCTCCTGCCTGAAGAGGAACAGGAATATCATAGATGCGTTAAAACATTTTTGCATGTGTTGATTTACCTTAAAATCGTACCAACAAAAATTGACCAGATTTGTTTTATCCCCAGATAAAATAATTGATCAGATTCATTTATCGCTGTTCAGGAGAGTGCCCCTCTTGATGACAATCCTTATGAATGTCTTTCAAGTCCAGCAAATGTGTAACACCTTAATTCAGGGCCCACTAAAATCAGTGTAAATGTCTGCACTAATTTCATGGCATGTTAGATTGGGCCCGTAAGGCCTTTCCTAAAAGAGAGAGGGCCATAAGTTCCCTCTTGAATCCAGGCCAGTAACGCAGTGGTCAGTCTGAGGAGGAGTGTAAAACCGCTTTGTGCCCAGAGCTGGGATGCAGCTCGGGCTGCGCCCGGGGAATTCTCTGTGTGTGCAGACAGGTTACACGGGTCTGAGCTGGGTCTTGGTGCAGAGGTATGGGCAGGCAAACAGCACCCACGGCTGCACGCAATTTTTCCTGGGGTCAGGAAGGTTGTGTTTTCAAGTTACCTATCTTGCCTGCTCCTTCAGTGTCTGCTGTTGCTCTCTGCAAGCAATTACTAGCGGGCCAGGTAGTTATCAATTCTTCCATACTTTGCAAGCAGTCTGGTGGCACTGCACGCAAACGTGAAATCTCTGAGAAAATGTATTTTATTCCCTGCTCTGTGGCCAAGCAGCGTCTGCAGCTTGTGCAGAAGAAAAGGCACCTTCACAACCTTGGGCTAGAAGGAGAAATCGTTCTGTGTGAGCCTCCAGCCAGAGATTTCACACTTCGTGGTCGCATGCAGGGGGAGGACAGCCCACGGGGACACAAACCAACTCGCCTTAATGACTGTAGACCATACCTCATTTTTTGACTGAACTGAGATAGTAAAATACATTTCCCAATTATTCTTGAAATTATCATCATGCACAGCCTCAAAAAAGTAACATCCTTCCCTGTACTTCTGGGCTTTGTTCCTGTTTTTTAACATGCAAGATAGAACAGTATTAGGTAAAAGAAATGGCTGCATGAAAATGGCATTTACTATGAGTTATAAATATACCAGTATGACCTCTCTCTGAATATCAAATCAAGGAAGATTCGAAGGACAGAGATAGCATGGGAATAATAATTTCATTTCAAGAAAATACCTTTTCAATAAAATAAAAAAAAAGGACGTATAACTCTCTAGGTCCATAATCTTGTCTTTTTTGATAATGGTAAGATGAATGAAGATCACTAGCAGGGGAAACATAAGGAAGCAGAGAAGAGAGATATGTCTACTGCAGCAAATTAACCTGTCAACCTTGTTTAAAAGGGTTATTTTTAAACTCTATTAGCTGCAGGTTTTAGTAGCTGCTCAACATCTTCATATTCTTACAGCACTACCTTATACAATTCAATTGCACGCACAGACTGCAAAGTGCTGCGGGCTCCTTGTTCATTTTACTTTCTAACACAAGCTATTGACTCCTGAAGTACAAGTATGACCAGCAAAGAACACCAAGCTTTCCCGGCTTACTGAAAAACTTCAGGAGCAACACAGAATTCCTCAGTGACAAGTACAGTGAAAATATTACAAAGGGAAAGAAACCTTCTTCACAGAGCCCATGTGCAATGAAAATACAGTTAAAGTAAGAATGGAAATAAATACCCTACCTATTAAATGAATAAATTACTTGTTTTTCTCTGCCATCTCTTTCAGAAGAGCCTAAACAGGCCATGGCCCTTGAGGTCTCAAAAGCATGTGTAACAAAGGAAGGATTCCCAGTCCTTTACCTTCGGTGCAACGAGACAGCGTCTGGGTAACATTCGTTCATCGGCGAGGCTGTGTCTGCCTGACCAGCCCAGACACGTACCGGTGCCACCCTCCAGTTGTGAGACGCGTTGTGAAAAAGACTGATGGGAGCCTGCGCAGCCACACTGGATAAAGCATCGCAGGGACAGGAGAAATCTTCCTGTGCCCTCTTCTATCCGTGAACATTAATAAGAGGAATGGGATACACGTGCCTAGCTTCTTCAGACTTAAAAAAAATTAATCTTGATATGCTTGTGTCCTCAGCCATAAATAAAAGCAATGTAGTAGCTCACTGGCACACCCATTTAGCTCTTCCTAGCTGTAAACCAGTTGTTATCGTGTAAGATCTGGTGTCCTTGCTCTGTGGCATCACAGACATTCCTCTGAGACTCTACCTTTCGCTTTTTAATTCCGATACGCTGTCACTCTGAAGCGGAAGGTTATGCTATAATGCTGCACGTGGTTACTTTAACAAGGCGTTAGCCATGGCAGAGAACTGCTAAGAGCGAGAGGCAAAACTCTGCCTCTCGCAGGTTTGCCCTGTGCGATTCATCTGAAATGCAGGCACGCCCAAAAGACTGACCTTGACTTTCTGTTGGTGATGGTATATCTGCCAGGCGATGTGAACATGCATAGCGCACCACTTTCCAGGTTTCTGGAAAAAACAAAGCGAAACAACATGAATCAGTAACTTTCAAAAACCCGTGTTGCTTTAGTTATACCAACTCTTGCCAACTCTTAGCCCAGTCTTTTTGGTCTAGGGGATTCCCCACGCCAAGACAAATGAAAGCACAGGGTGTCCCTTCGGTGCCTTCCCCCTCCGTCCTCATGGGAAACCAGAAATGCAAAGAATCTGTCCCTTGCTAAGAACTTTATCTGGATATCCAGGAACCCTCCTGGTCACTCTCCTCTCCAAATAAACCCGTGCTCGGGTTTTACACGCTCTTGCAACCTTCTGATGCCACTGGCTGAGAACGCAGCTTGTGCTGCTGAAAGGAGTGAAACTGTCTCCCAGTCGGCAGCTGCTCCGCAGAGCGGGTTGCTTCACACCTGGACAGCGCGCTCACTTCCAAAAGTGCAGCTATTCGAAGACCAGCCTTTGCACCAAAAGATGAAAATGAAAGCACTTTAAAAGATGACTCTTTTCAAAATGAATCTGACTCCCTCCTGTCATTGCTGGTTAGTACCTTCAAAACTTTGGCTCATAAATAGCCTAAAAAAATTGGAGGTCAGTCAGTTCACCCTGTCTGGGAAGGCTCTTTGCACCCTTCCCGTCACCCCGCTTCTAAGTCACGAGGAGGAGAGAGGGAGGAAAGAACCACAGAGGGCTATTTGGGTTACCTGCTTGATTCTGTACTCCATTTCCAGGACATCTGGAAATCTTCTCTGAAAAAGACTCTCTCAGGATATACTTTCTCAAAGTTTGTTATTTAGGGGTCTATAGTTAACTACACAACTAATGACTCCTGCAGATTTAAAAATAATCACAGGAATTAAAGAAGCTCCTCAAGCTACTGGTAACTTAAATGTTTCACAAACTATAGCATAGGGTCTGCCTTCTATTTCTAGGTGTGTGTCAACCAACAAATAAAAAGCACAAAAAAAATAGAACTCCTCTCACATATACTCCCCTAAACTCGAGCCTCTTGCTTATTCACAGCAACTGGCTGTGCTAGTCATGTCATGAGTTCACTCGGTCGCTGCTGACAAAATACAGAGCTCGAACACATTGAAAAATTAACAAAAACCCCTTTTGGATCACTGAAAGACTAGATCTTTTGATCCTTATTTCTAAAATATTTTGTGTTTGAAGTGGATTGCCTGTCTATATGTGACAGTAAGATACTTGGGTAGGAAGTACCACACCGAGTAACCCTGAAACACACAGTAAATAATAAAAAAGCAAAAACATTCAGTCTGCAGTGAAATGAGAAGGGATCAGTAGGATTTGGCTCAGGAACCCTTGTTAGCTAGCACGATACAAGGATTATCAGTATTTAACCTCTAGTATTCATGCCAGGGCGTTGCATGAGAAGAACAGAAAACTTCCAACTTTGAAACTCTGTATTTTCCTCGAGCGACCACAAGATGCATGCAAAGGAGGACCGACCATGCTGCTCGGCAAACACGGTGTGAAATACCCAAGATGAAACATGGTGTTGGTTTATAATTAGTCTGCCGCTTTAACCCGGTGGGGACTGAGACGAGCTTGACAAACTGTATCACAAGAAGATTTCTTACCCTCAACATGGGCCTGAACGGATCTGTCAACTGTGAAGAAGAAATGACAGCTTGGTTACATGCCTGTCACTCAAACAATTGCTCTAATTAACAAATTTGTATTGCTTCATTAAGAGATCAAATTAAAATGTGTAATTTTACTTTCAAATGAAGCCTTTTTGGATAATAATTAGTCCTTAGCCTCCGTATTCGAGCCGGTCTCCCTCCCCCCATGGCTGTTGTACCTAAGTGTTGACAAGCAACTAAACAAGCCTCGCACAGAACGCTCTGTCCTCTGGCATCATCATTAATTTGTTGATTTAATGCTACAAAAATGGCTGGTTAACTACTCTGAAGAAAAACACAGATTGGGCAAACTTCTGTTCTCATCTTTCAAAGCTGCTCGCCTCGCGAGAAGCCTGGTGAGCGGACAGGGTCCCTTTTTCACAGGCTCGATCCCAGGAATCGCGTTGGAACGGGCTGGAATGGTGTTTCAGCTGCGCCCCAGCAAACCAGTGACGGTGTGTGTTTGTCGGCCGTGGCTTTAGACCCTTGCCTGTACACTGCAATCGCCATCACTGACTGCCTGCTCGCCTGATGTGTCCTCTGCCACAGACTGGCTTTGCCTCGCACGTTTTTCACATTCCAACAGATGTTGGTGAACAGCAGCTGTATAAAACCCCCAATTTTCTCATTTTTTGTGTGGCCTGTTTTTTTGAGGTAGATTACTTTCTTATTCTCTTTGCTCACATTTCATCAATTAATGCTGGAAAATAAAGTCAATTTCTGGGGTATTTCTCATTTGTTTCGGATTTTCTTTTTTGAAATGCAATACTAAAGGAGCTTTATAGGTGTAAGAGGTACTTTGCAGACTCAGTGATGGCACAATACATCATCCTGAAATAATCGAAACTATACCACAAGTTGAAAGGGAGCGTAAAGCTAAATGACTTCATGACGGGAGGCTCTAGTTATCTTTTCAAGCAGATGGAATAAAGAGAAATGAAAAAACATGGTTCCTTTTGCTATAAAGCTCAACTACAGCACCAACTCAGAGCAAACCGAAGCACTGGAACTTGGCATAACCCACAGAAAGTATCTGCTGCACTTCAAAGTTGAGCCATACCACAACATGGATTTTCACGGAGAGCTCCCCATTGCTTTTGTCAGAGAGTTCTGCTAAAAATACGACTGCATGATGTTCCTCATTGCAAACAATGTATGTTAAGTCAAACACGCAAACAACCCGTGGGCATGCAGCAAGAACAGAAAAAAGCTAAAAGACAAAATGCTGAGACAATAAATGCTATTCACATGCTAGAACTCAAAAATCCAGAGGCGCCAAGTGATCAATAAACTTAGTCCATATTTCACTGGTGCAATCAACGATACAATAACCAAGGGAATAACTGTCATTACCCACATTAATAACAATTACAGAGTATAAACATAAATCTTGACGAGGTTTGTACATTGCTACGTTGAATTGGCCTTTTATGCCGTTACCCCTGGGCTTGTGGGGATGCCTGCGGACAGCAAGGGAAGAGCTCTTCCTCTGCACACTATCTCTTGGCCTTTGCTAATGATGAGCAGGGGTAAGGATCAGGATTTAACCTGGTCTCATACAGCTTCTCTAGTTTAGTTCAGACTGAGCTTCAGTATTCGGATGTTAATGTGGACACACTGAAGATGGTAGCGTTACCGTTAAAGGTTTTTAGGAGGAACAGCTTTACTTGAGAAAAATACAACATTGTCTACAGACCCGTGGATCTTTCTGTAGAAGGGTATGCGGGACAGTTCCAGGTCTGGCTGCAACATCAATAGGATTGGAAGTCTAGAAATACCACAAGGACAGACAGCATTAGTGAGTAACACAATGCATAAAAACAACAGAAAGTGAAAAATACTACTACTTTATCATTAACATTGCCAAAGCAAGGAATATAAACCTTTTAAAGAGGAGAGAACAACCACCATAATCCACTATAGTATAATCCATAGTACTATATGTATCATCATCTCCATTTTCAAACTTTCATTGTCCACCAACTTCCCATTACTTGAAATAATCCAAAACACGTGAAGGAACAGTGACTGCTTACACTGGAAAATCTTTCCACTATCGAAATGGTGGCGAGTGACATACTTATGATACGGCATCTGAAGTAGCGTTTGGAGGACCAAGCTCATGCTCTGCTGCTCATCAATAACGCACCGGACCAACTGCTAAACCCACTACCCTGACTTCAACACACGGAGCGTCAGCGACCTCTCTAGTCACTGTACAAGGATCCAAACTCCCTCCACAATGAACTGTTACCACACTGATGTCTAGAAAAGGCAACATCCAGTCAAAAAAAATTAAAGCCTTTCCCATGATTTGAATGTAAATATTCAGCTAATATAACAAAATGCATCTTTGTGGGGAAAAAAACAGCCCACAAACAAAAACCCCCAAACAACCCAAAAACCTACATTTAGACAGAGCATTTTCCTATGCTCTGAAGAAAAATAGAAATCAGCTACAGTATAACTAACAATTAAGTAACAGAGTTGTTAACAGTCTGATTACCATACATACGAAGTATTCCACTAATGAACTGCAATTTACATATTCAGTCATTACAGTGGATGGGCCAATTTAAGAAAGAAGGTGTCTTTGCTGCAGAAATTTCAGTGCTGATTTCAGTCTTTAGTTGCAAAGACTACAGACTGCAGAACAGGATTTCCTCCCACTTAGAAATCAAGAGTGACTTCATGAAAACAAAAGAAAAAAAAAAAGCCAAACTCATCACATTTATCTATCCTAGCTATCACAAATGAGAGGAGAAGTAAATCAGTGTAGTGCACTGTGGTGGAGCCGTGAGTTAATTATGGAAATGAGTAAACAGTAATGATCATGATTTCTTAAAATCCTGATTATTACATGACCTTACATTAATGCATACTGGAACTAATTATATCGCTTCTAAAGTTAACTATGTCGTTATATATAATGTTTTTTAATGTATGTAGATATATTTGAGCCTAATGAGAAATAACTTCTCTTTGTCCTAAATTTGGAAAAAGCCAATTGTCCTCTGTGGAATTAGGTTGTAACTCAGATCGCAATTCCTCCAGAATCTGAACCACGTTCTAAACCTAAACCGAAACCTAACCTGGCTCACAACGCCAGTGAATTTGAGATAACAGATGTGCAAATAATTCCTTTCTCACCTTGGGTTGAAACGCTCCTTGTAGCGAGCCAAATGGGCCGGTTGGAGGAATCATGGGAGGAATACCTGATACAGCTGGAGGGTAGGAGTGAAACAGCTGTAACGAAAAGATAGGAGAACATCAATACGGGCATGCGTCAAAATGGAGACAAGAAGTTGAACAAGATAGCGAAAGCATTTTAGGGAAATGGTACATGGAGAAAACTGAGAAGCATTGAGGAAGTGATCTCGTTGCAAGAATGTTAGTTAAAGCAGTCGATGAAATGTTCACAAATGTCATGAGGTTTAGAGCTTAAAAGCAGTTCCAAAAATCATCAAGCCAGCAACCTGTCCCCCGGATTAGGCCACAGCGTAAGAGATTTTTTTTTTTTTTCAATTATTCATTTTTAAATTGGATAGAGATTTTAAATGGTACTAGTTGGCAAGCCATTTCAAGAGAAAAGGCAGAATACGGAGCCAAGTAAGACTCAGAAATCTACGCTTTGAGTGGAAAAAAAACCCCTTATGAGTTCTAGGATATTGTATCATTAAAACTCCATTAGTACGTTAGGATTTTAATAGGATCTGTAGGAAATGAGGAAAATACGCACAATTCTTACTTCATTAGCCTGTCTGAGAGGATATCCTGCCACATCTAATATTAGCAGAGAAAGAATCTGATTTGTTAAAAATTATTATTTAAATAAAATGTGGAGGCAGACCCCCCCCCCATAAGTTTAGGGTACTGCTTTTATAAAGACAGATTAAGCATAAAAAAGTGCAGATCTCCACTGACCTCACTGATCTGTTCTAAAAGAATTTAGCAAAAAAAACCCCAAAAGCTGTTCTGTACTAATGCAGGCAAACACATGGGAACGAAGCAATAAACCGTAACGTCCAAATCTTATCTTGTCTCTGTGGTCCGGCTGTGAATCTTTTACTCACGCTGTAGCACAGTTAACTCGCCCAATTCCATGGAAAATGCTGAGATTACCCTCAAAATTGCTTTCTGGTAGGAGTCGGGGGTTCAAAGCATTACACTACAAATATGTTCTCACTGTGAAACCTCGGGAGCGATGGGGGATGGCTGCTCACTCCGCTGGTACTGCCACCCAAAAAATCTAAAGGGGTCATCTGGCTGACACAAATTCACCTCTGAACACAGCCGATCAACAATCGATCTACCGTACGCTACTTTTAAGATCAAAATAAATGAGTTAATGGCCAATTGAACAGAAGCAGGACTGGGCAAAGTAAAAGACTGGACATGCGGAGCGGGCAAACGCTGAGCAAATCACATCCCGGAGTAAATCAGTGCTGCAAAGTTTTGATGAATTTGTTTATGCCAGGCATATGTATGTGCATTTTTTAAATTGTTTTTCCTTCCACTAGCTTATCTTGCAAGGTCATTTATTCATATTACATTTACTGAAAGCTGAGAAAATATTTAAATATTTTAGAGGTATCAAAAGATTTTCTCGGTTTAAAAGCATGGTATCAAGTCTCCTTTCATAACACGTTGCTATTGTTGGTTTCAGTTCTATTTAATTTGGACCTGCTCCATTCAATGATGCAGAAAGCATTTTTAGATTAGTTGATACTGAACTGTAGGCATTTGAGAAATCATTAAGAGAGACTTGTCCTCATTTACAATAACTTTTAATGAGTAAAATGTGTTTTAAATCCTCCAGTGTCTTCTGCATTTAATTCTGTGTGTAATGGACTAATTCCAGACGATGGAAAGAGACGTAATACTTAATATCCTATTGGCTATGACTAATAATAGGGAATGCTTTCCTTAGAGTTTTATAACAACTGGTAAGTTAATTAAATGTGACCTTTCCTCAAGGTCAGAATGATTAATAAAACATAAATATTGTATCTCTAGGATCTCTTTGTATCAGTTAAATTCCTCTAGCTTTCAAAATGCATCTTTCATAGTCAGTGTTTCCTTTTTCTCCCTCTCTTTTGAGCAGCATTTTCCCTTTCTAGCTCTCTTCAGGGAACAACGCAGTACCCCCAGCTTTCCTGGGGCCAGGGGCGATGCAACGCTAAACCAGACCCAGCGATAACTGCAGGAGAAAGAACTGCCTCACTGTGTGACAGTAGGGCCCTCCCAAAAAAGAAATGACAGTAAAATCAAAGATGCAAAGAGAGAAAGCTGTTTTAAATCTCTACACGAGCTTCTGTGTGAGCTGTGCTCCCTATTTTAAAGTAGATTGATTTTAACTCTCAATCAGACCCTCTTCTCCTGCCAAGTTCGCTCACAAGCTTTAAAAACATCGCCAGCGGTTTTAAAGATACCTGAATTCTTGGTGTGGTTCTATAGCGGAAACTCTTGTCACCAGGAGAAGATCTATGGAAGTGCCACAGTTGGACAGGATTTCTACAATAGGACAAGCCCTATTGGGTACGCACTTATGCCAGCAGAAGTTTTGATCCTGCAGCTGCTCAGGGACCTGATGACAGCAGTTCCTCTGTTACCTATAGAACCTATAGTCACAGGAGGAGAGATGACTGCGATACCCTGGCTAGTTTGGCCTCGCTGTAGTTTAAGACAGACTGCTGATCCAATGTCATCTGTAGCCATCACGGTGATCTTCTGGTATTAGCTTGCTAAACATCCAACGGACGCAATAACGACTATTTTGCAACCACTTGGCAAGGAGAACCCTTTCCTGAAGGAAAGGCCGGGAGGCGTAACGGAGCAGACCTCTGCAGGCGGAGCGCTGCCAAGTCCACCAGCGTGGCTCGATGGCAACCGAGAACAGCGCGAAGCCCGCCCTTCCTTTAACCAGGCAATGCCGTGACCTTGACAATTCAGGTAACTGCCAGATTTCTAACAGATTACGTCACTGCGTTTGAAAAGCATATACAGTTGGAGACTTTTGCAATGGTCCCTATTATTACATGTCGACTTCTGTGCTTTATTTGCCTAAAATTCATTTACCTATTCCCAGTTCTGTGTTCTTGCTTGAATCAACGTGCCACATTGAGGATATTCTATCTTTTGAATCCACGTACAGCTCAGCAAATAAGAGTACAATTTTGCAAACAAGGATGCAAATGAGCAGCATTACCCTTTTGAGTAAAAGTGATTATTGTAGGCTTAAATGTTTGCCTAATACTCCTAGAGCTCTGATCCTGCAAACACGCTCATACAGTTCAAGTTACTCAAACGAGGTGTCAGAAATTAATAGGACTGTTCACATGTACTACGGGCATGAGTTGTTAACAGGAACCGTGTTTGATCGGTACAGCAGAAAGCATCGCGCTATCATCTTAACCAGTTTTTTTTGCCCAGTTCCACTTCTAAGCAAAACCAACACAGAAAGCCAAGTGCTTTGCAGATTTCTGAGTGCTGATGCAGTACGCCTTCTCTCATCAAAATATCGCTATTGGGTTTGGAAATTCTTGTCAGAGTCAACCAGATACCTGCCTCTGCCAACAGGATGAAGGAGATGCAACCCGTATTTCAGCAGCAAATGAATCGGTAGGTTCAAACCCTTCAGAGCAGAAGCTTTACAATTAACTGGAGTGTTAAAAATCAGTTCATCTCAATAAATAACATTTTTGGTAGCTCTTAAATAAACACATCTAGTGCATAGCTGGATTCATGTTGCTGTCATCAAACAGAGCTTTCAAAACATAACAAGCTCAGTGGATCAGATGTGCCTTTGAAATCTGAAGAATAAGACAAGTTTTCAGATTTTATAAAACAAAACATGATATATTAGGAAAACTATTAGATTAACTATCCCTGAAGGATTTGTACGATAGTTTGTCATTTCATTTCAAGTTTCTTAGGAAAAATATCAGTCTAAGGGTTTGCGGCACAACTGAAACACAGCGATGAAATTACTGCTCTCTCCTGCTTCACGTAGCAGTCAGCTCTTCTGTCTCATCTTTTTCACATCAAACCTGTCTTCAAACGGTGTACGAGCAAGAGATCTTTTGATTGGAAAAGCTGATACTGCATCTTTATCAGAAACAAGCACCATGAATACAAGCCTTCAAAAGCCAAAGCAACCAAGAACGATAATGGTATATCCTGGAGTGATGATTAGGGAGAGATTCGACATTGTGCCATCGACTGAGTGGTGATCCCAACCCACCACGGAAAAGCAGTTAAGTCAGTTTTAAACAGAGTAGTAGAACTCACACTGTGACGGTAGAAGGGGTCAACTTTTGTAGGGTATTTGTCAAACTGCAAAGGGATCAAAGCACAAACTAGTTACTTTATATTTCCTTGCTTTACTTCTGTTGGTAAAATAGAAGACTACTTCTCTAGTATTTGGCAACCAACAGAGAGGAAAAAATATGCACAAAATTAGTTTCCAATGAAACTGCTTGGGATTTTTCTTTCTTCAAAGAAGGTCTCTATGAGACAGCAAAGAGAGGGAGGCACCGGAGTGCACCGCTCCGAGCACTGGAAGCCCCAGCACGAGCGCTCCCTCAGCCAGCAGCCTCGGCCCCTGCGCCGCCACCTGAACCTATCGCACGTGCGACAATCGTGGGGAAGGGACAGCCCTTCCTCTCCTACCCAACCACACCTGGGTGGCAGAGTACTCCTTCCCCGCAACCTGGCAAATTCTTAAATTTTTGTAATAAAGAATAGAGTTGTGCTCTACTTATCCTCACATTTCTGCCTGGGGTACGCACCATGGGCGGTGCTGGCGTTGGCATGATGGCAGTGGGTGGGATGGCGTGAGGGAAAGGCGTGAAGGTGTGCTGGTGTGTGTGTTGGTGTGTGTGCTGGTGCTGGTGCTGGTGCTGGTGGAACTCGGTCCTCAGGTACGGCGGCGGGCCCAGGGAGGCCCCGCGATCTGCGCTCTGCGAGGCCAAAAATCGCGTGTTTAGTTCCTGACGGAGAAGATCTTGTTCTGAAATACAAACAGCAAAACAACCCCTCGTCAGCTCAGGGCTTTTCCAGGCCTTGTGCCACTTACTTTTTGCTGGCTGTGGTAGCAATGCTGTATTTAAAACTTCCTGGTGGTAAATCACGCCACTGTACAGGGTAAGAAAGTTCCCCCAGATCTTCCCCAAAGGCCTGAGAGACAGAACGTCTCCATTTTCCCTCTCTCCCCAGGCCTGTCTTCACTACAGTGTTCCTCTAGCATCAGCCTGAGGGTTCTCCCTAAATTTGTATGGACACGGACATACTCCTAAACAAGCGAGGAGGTTCAGGTAACCTGGAGTGAGTAAACATCGAGTGGCTGCTGCTAACATGAGTATCCTGCTGCACGGACACAAACCGATGTTACCCAAATGCTGATAATCCTCCATTTTCTTCCCCAGTTCCCTCTCAGTGCCCTGGGAGGAACAGAGATGTCACATCTCCCCACAGTCCCAAGTATAAAAGAGCACAATTTTCTCCCGATAAAAAATCTCAACATCTCAACCCCCCACAATCTTGCACGTACACGAGCTGAGGACCACTGCGTGCACAGCCGCTGGAGACCTTCCCTCTGGCCGGGGAAGCAACGCTGAGCACAGGCCACAACTGCAGCAAAGACATTCGCTAAGGGGGTCACCGATTCTGTGTGGGCACGTGTGTTTTTACCATGGGGAGAAAAAAACAGACATGGAAAAAGCACAGCCTTCCAAAAATATTCATTCCCAGGGCAGAAGAAAAGTCATTGGGTACATCTAGGTGGCTTTTGGCTTTGACATTGCTCCAAATCATTGAGCGATGAGTACAGCCTCTACCCAACCAACAGCCCTCATCAAATGGACCAAAAAGAATTATTCTGACTAAAACCAGAGAACTGGCTTCCTACGCTGCAGTAGTCACGCTCAGGCCATGATCCGTCCGTCTCTTACCTGAGTAAGTACTACCAGCTGGGTGTCCTGGAACCTGCAGTGTCCCTGACGTCAATGGAGGTGGCGGAGGCAAAGCCGTAGGAGGGGCAAACATATTGGGGTGATGTGGGTGTGCGGGGGGCTGGAGGGCGGGCGTGAAGGTATGCAGCGGGCTGTGGCTGGGCAGAGAGAGGGGGAACGGTGAGGCGGAGGGATGGTGAGATATGTGCGGAGGAGGGGCCTGAGTCTTGGCAGGAGTGCTGCTTCTGCTGCTGCTGTTAATGAAAAGAAAAGCAATTAAGCGTTGCACGGAAGAAAGAAAAGCTCCAAACATCCGCATACACAACCCCACCACGCTATGCATGGCTCACCTTAAACACGTTAGAATCTAAGTTATAATCACAAATTCAAGTTACTATTTTCATTTTCCAGCAGTACCACTGTGACACTCCTTTCTCCAACCATCTGCTGTACCTCTTCTAGTACCTTTTACTTCCCGTGGCCTCTGCACACCAAAACCCGAGCCATCTTCTCCCTCTCTGTAAGAGGTTGATACTCCGTCTTCCAACAACACAGGAGTGACACACAAAGGAGTAATCAGCCCTGTGCATTCATTACTTAATTATCAGGTCTTTTCTACATGACTGCTTCTGATTCATGTTTTCAGGCAAATGAAGCTCAAAATCAGTGATCACTGCATTAATAAAAGTTTAAATCTTTTTGCTACGACTTAGTAAGATGAAAGACTGCAGAAAATGCAAAACAAAGTTGAGAAGGCAACAATGGATACATGCTTATTGTACAGTTAATGCCTCTCTGTACCCCCACAATATAAAGAGATGAGTCAGCAAAATAAATATTTGCCATTACATTGGTTGCAATTTTTCGGGTTTCATTTCCTACTAATAAGTATTTAAAATATATTCACGCAGCGCTTAATTCTACTTGTCATTATTTCAAGTAGCAACTTGCTTCTATTGCAGTGACTTTTAAAGACAAGCAACACTAACTTGGTTAAAAATAAATCAAACTCTTAAACACCTCTCAGTCTTTAGTCAAACCCTGAAGCAACCATAAAGCTGGTTCACCAGGTCTTGAAGGACACCATCTGTCTGCTGGAAGCTCAGATTTGGGGAAATATGACCTAGCGTTGACAGCATTAGCTCAGAGTAGGGGAAACCTGAGGTCCTTAACTCACGGAGGCATCACGGGTTCCCGTGAACATGTTTAATCTCTCGGTTCATCTTTGTCATCCCCTATAAAAGGTGAGGTCTATCTCACCGTGACCAGGAGAAGGGGAAAAACCTGAAGGCTGCAAGGTGTCAGCAGTGCAGGAAAAAATTAAGCTTTGAAGTCATTGGTGCAAGACCGTTTGTGGTAGGCTGTCAGCAGAGCCAACAGCAGCTGCACCATACTTCTTGCTCTAGGGCATGTCAGCAGTTGGAGAAAGCAGAAGACGTTTACAGGGATGGGAGGGTAAAAGAATTAGCCTTCAGAGAGCAGCCCAACCTGCAAGAACTGGGATTTTCTTCCCCTGGTCTGTGTTGCATAAAATCTCCTCCAAAAAGCGCTCGGGAATACCTAATACCTAACTAAGGTGATAATGCACAAAGTCCCTTTATTTCCCAGCGACGGGGTGGGATGTGCTGTCACTTCTCTCCTTTAGCTAATTCATCTCTGCTTCCTCCAGGCACCGTAAAGCATCAGCACCAGGCAGCAAGTTCACAAAGACGGGGAGCCTTGGCGCGCGCGTGTTTCTGTTCGCCTACCTTAAGCTGTTGAGGCTCAAACTGCTGCTGTTATAGGCAGAGAGCGGCTGCGAGAGGCTCTGAGAGGCTGGATGGGGCTGCACCGGAGGGAGGTTTGGATGGGCCGGCTGC